ATTTCCAGTTCAACATCAGCCAAAGGACGTACTCCGGCGGGTACTCCTGCGCGTTATGGAGCCACTGTTCCATCAGCCCTGCAAGCAGCCGCTTGTCCAGCACGTTGCCTCCATGACGAAGTGCCTCGCGCGTGACATCCACCACAAAGGACGCATCCGGCGACGAAGGGACAACTTGCAGCAGGAGGGCCTGGACAGTACATGGCAGCGGCTGCAACTCCGAGCCCCGGCGCATGTCGTTCCACAAACCGACAGGGTCTACGCCCATGCGGATGTGCAGTTCAATGAGATAATGATACGTCAGCGCGTCAGGGACGACATTCGCTGCTTTCATCTCCTTCAAGATATAAAGCACCTCCTCAGTCGCAAAGTTCTTCCGCTGCGTCAGCACCTCCAAATAGGCGTTAAAAAAATTCGCATTCAGGAGTGACACGGTACGGCCGCTGTCTTTTCCTTGCCCATTTCCCGCAAGATCTCGCAGCCCGGCGGCAAAGACCTCACGCACTCGGTCCATGCGACCCAACGCCGTAAAAGTACGCATCAAACACACCGCCATGTCCCGCGCCTGAAAGGCACCGCCAGAAAATTCCTGCAGCGACATGCGGTCAGCGCGGTACGAGGCCTCATAGAATTGCACCACACCGTCGTAGTTTTTCGCCTCCATCAATTCCATCACATGGGCAAGAGGCGATGAGTTGCCCACAACAGACGACGTGTGATGCACCTGATGAACGGGCGCGCAAAGCACTGGTGAGAGCCGCCACGGCGTCACGCGGCACAGCACGGACCGCAAAAAACGACGCATGGATCCTCACAAAAAGGGCCGCCCCGCAGCAGACATCAATCACAAGAGTGGCATTCAAACGAACGAACAAAAAAAAAAAAGAGAAAAAAACGAAACAAAACATGCGGAAAACATCACAAAACCACAGCACCCACAAAGTAAGCAAACGGCATTGCAATAAATACACCACAATCCGCTCAAAAAATAACTAAAAAAAAGTGAAAAAAAAATCCTTTTCCACAACATCTTAGAAATAAATAAATAAATAAATAAAACAAAAACAAAAACAAAAACAAAAAAACGGTTTTATAAATGCCTCAACACCTTTATTGCGCCCTATAACCCTCACATTTCCCTAGGCGTGACTAACGCACAGGCAGCCACGTAAAAATTAACGCGAGATAATCCCCCAGACACCTGCACATAAAAACAAAAACAACAACAACATCAAAAAAACAATAATAATAATAATAAAGACCTGTTAACAACCATAAAAATTTCGTTTTCACCCAATAAACAACAGAAAAAAAAGTCCAATAATAAAAAAAAAACCTCGTACCTATTTACATTTATTCCTTATTTGTCGTTCACAACCAGCGCGGAGATAAAAGCGGCGCCAATGCCGCTGCCGTCCCTTGCGAGTGCCGTCGTGACATCACACCCAGGACCGAGAATGGCGTTCATGTTTTGCTGCAGCAGGCGGCGGAATGACGGTGTCTTCTCAAACACGGAGCCATCGATCGCGACCGTCGCACGGCCCTCTTTCCTTGTCTTCACAAGTGGCGCACTGCAGAACATGGCACTGATCTGCGCAGCGCGGCCGCGCACCAGGCAGCACACATCACGGATCACGTGCAGGTCTGCAACATCCGTCACGTCGACATGGAAAAGCTCTTGGAACACTTGACGCGTGAACTGCAGACCCGGCATGCGGTCTGCGGATATCATGCCCATAAATTTCGTCTCAAAGCTCCACGGCTTGGCCATCTTGGATGCAAGGGCGCTTGGCAGGCAATGCAACTCGGCAAGATGCGCTATCATGCGGCGACTGATTTCCCCAAGATACATGCCGGAGACCATCTTCTCTTGCGTCTGGTAGTTGCGGTTCGGCGTAACGGCATCCATCGCCTCGTCGTACGCGGTGACCGGCAGCACAAACTTGTACTTGGAGTCAAAGTTCCCGCACTCCATGTTGATTGGTGTCTGTGTCGTACCGCGCGCGGCCACTGAGGGTTCCTTCGTCACGGCGTAGGCATCCTCGAAGTAGCACGCGTTGGAGCCGGTGCCGATGATTACGCCAACCTGCGTATCGGGATCAAAGAAGTAGTTCGTGATAAGCGTACCGACAGTGTCGTTGCAGAGTGCCACCACTTTCACCTTCACTTCCATGCGTTTCAATGCCTTCTGCAGAAGTTCCACCACGTCCTTCCCCTCCACACCCCGTGTCGAGAAACCCTTCGTCCATTTTATCAGGAAACCGTGATCGACGCCTTTCTGCTCTGTTGGAAAGCTAAATGTGAAGCCAAGCGGCACGGTGCGGTTCAAGTCCTCCGGTGCTTTCTGCTCCATCATTTTCTTCACACTCTGCGCAATAAAGCCAAACAAATCCTCTGCCGTTCCTTGCAGTGCCTGCTGCGGAATCACAAACTTGGCGTCCACACGGTCCGCTACCCTTCCTTCCTTGCACGTCACACGCAGCACTCGAAAGTTCGTGCCCCCGAGGTCCAGCGCGTAGAAGACGCCTGTCGCCTTGCTGGGATCGGTTTTGTACACGTAAGAAGGCAGCATGCGCAAAGTGCTCTCGCGGCCCTCCAGTCCCTCAATCATCTCGTGGACCATGTACAACATCAGCTGCTTGAGGTGGTCCTTGCCCACCGTGAACTGGTTCGCGAGGGACGCCAGCGCCATGCGCTGCTTCAGGTGTCGCATTGTGTCGCTGTCTTTGTCTTTCACAGCAATGTGCTGCAGCAGGTTGTTCAGGCGAGCGGACATGGCTGGTAAATTACAGTTTTATAATTGTTTTTTTTTAGAATTTTATTTTGAAATGTTTTTCTCTTTAATTCTGTCGTAATCTTAGGGCGTTAATGACAATTGTGATCCATAACGAAGGGGGAAAAAAAAAGTATAAATTAAAGATTTGGCTGCTTCCAACAACAACAAACAGACAAAAAACGAAAAAAAAAAAACAATGAAAATTGCGATGATGTTTCACTTATTGTCGTCGTGCTTCGTGTGACGGATAACAAAACGGAAGGGACGGGGTGGTGTCCGTGCGGTCATGGGAGATGCTGCATGGCATCCAAAAGTGTCTTTTGTGTTTTTAGCGCCACCGACGCTTGTGCGCGTCCCACGCCCGTTTTGTTTTTTCGCAGAGTTGTTAAATCAACATGGCACCGGCTGCGCAAAAGCCGCAGTTGTGGTTGACGAGAGGGGCACGTAAAAAGTGCCAGGGCCCCGTACAGCGGCTGAAGCTCGCTGTCGTGGGCGGAGTAGCCGATGGCGGTGTCGTCCACATCGATGGCGTGAGGCGCCATGCGGAGTCGCTCCACCGGTGGCTGCAGGGAAGCCGACGTGCTACAGGCGGTAAATTCCTTCCGCAGCTCCTCCTGAAGGCGCTCGCGCAGTTGTGGGAAATTTGCGGTGCCGCCAAATACAACAATGTGGTGGAGCAGGGCGGCGTGCAGAGTGGGGGCATCACGCAGCATCCCGCGGCTGCCCGTACCGCGTGCAATCGCGTCGACGACGCCCATCTGTTGGATGCCAACATCCACCGGGTGAAAAAGAAGCTCCGGGATGAGAAAGGCCTCATGGTGGAAGAGAAGATGCTGCAGCTCATGCCGTTCCACCCCCGACCCATCGCCGCCAAGGACCGCATGCAGCTCCTCCTCACGACACCCCAGCGGCATGAGGGGCGGTATAGTTGGCAAATAATATCGCAGCCCCGCCGCATTCCCATTGCCATAACAAATACCACCACCGCCATCACTAATGCTACTACTGCTGCTGCTTTTACCCCGCTGCTTTTGCCGCTGAGCTGCTCGCAAGGATGCTTTCGGCTGCAGCGCTACGTGGCAACACCGTTCCATGATGTGGTTGACAAGCCACCCGTCTTCGGTCATGTTTACTTGCGTGAAAGAGATAAGCTCCTTCAGGCGATTCGAGAGAAGTTTGCCACCAACGTCAACCCGCACGGCGGATTCTCGTATAGGGAGGAAGTCGACATAAGGAACCACAGTTGTGGCGGAGAAGCCAAAGTCCACCACCATCCCGCAGCCGCCACCAGCCTCGTCATCCTCACGGCAGCTTTCATGTACGTTGCGGTGCAACCAGTCTCGGGAGGCGTCGGCCACCAGGGCAAGGAACGTGGCGCTCACGACTGTCAGTGCTCGAAATTTAAAGCGCTGCGCAACCAAATAGTGCAGCAGCTCCCCCACCTGCTTTGGTGCTGCGAAGGGGACGGTGAGCACGAGTTCCACGTCACTCTCATCCGCGATGGCAAAGTACTGCAGCAGGTACTCCCAGATATAACTCTGCAGCGTTGCATCCACAACAAAGCCGCGGTCAACGGGGCGGCGCAGCATAAACCCGTGAAAGTGTGGCATTTTGAAGAGTTGCTCGCCGACGATGCCTCGACCAGCAAAGGACGCGGCGCCCACGCAGTTCGGCACAACCGCTTGCCGCGGCGGCTGCAATGCCGTGTTGCTTGGGTCCGGAATGTAAAGCGCCTTTAGCGTGTAGCCGCCATTGTCGATGATGAGCACCGGCCGGTCACCACTCATCTCAGCGCCACCACCGTGGCCTTTTTAAAATCCTTTTAAAAAAAAGCTTTCTGCGTGTGTGGGGGACCGACTCGACTGCGACAGCGAAAGAAGAAGAGGACAAGTGAAGAAGAACACCAACAAAATGACAATCAAATCACCACGCATACACACACACACACACACACACACACACACAAAGAGAGAGAGAGAGAGAGAAAGTAATATAGCATAAAGCCCTTTCAGAAGGCACTCATGCCAGTGATGGAGCGTCCCAAAATAAGTCCATGGATGTCGTAAGTGCCTTCATATGTCAAGACTGTTTCAAGATTGCACACGTGCCGCATGACGTGGTACTCGTCTGAAATGCCATTGCCACCCAAAATGTCTCGCATTGCCCGCGCGATTTCTATTGCCTTCCGTGTGTTGTTGCGCTTCAGCATTGATATCACCTGATGCGAGAGCTTCCCCTCGTCCTTCAACCGCCCAGCACGTAGGCAACTTTGCATCGCCAACGTTATCTCCGTCACTGCATCAGCCAACTTTGCCTGCACAAGCTGCATAGACGCAATTGACTTGCCGAACTGCTTGCGTTCCAGACTGTAATCTCGCGCAATGTTAAAACATGTCTCAGCCGCGCCAACCACCCCCCACGCAATGCCGTACCGGGCGCTGCTAAGACAATTAAACGGAGCCTTCAAGCCGGTGGCGTGTGGCAACACATTCTCCTCCGGCACGATGCAGTTGTCGAGTACAATCATGCCAGTACAGCTGGTGCGCAGAGAGAGTTTGCCTTCAATCCGCTCCGTGGCAAACCCCTTGAAATCACGCTCAACGATAAACCCCGCAATTTTATTTGTGTCGTGTAACTTCGCCCACACGACGGCAATGTCGGCGAGCGGTGCGGAGGTGATCCACGTCTTGCATCCGCTAAGGCTGTAACCACCCGCCACCTTTCGCGCCCGCGTCGTCATTGACATTGGGTCCGACCCCGCGTTCGGCTCCGTTAGTCCAAAACAGCCGATGAGTTCACCAGTCGCCAACTTCGGCAGAAACCGCTGCTTCTGCGCATCACTCCCAAAGGCATAGATGGGGTGCATCACGAGGGAGGACTGCACTGACCACGCCGAGCGGTAGCCGCTGTCAATTGCCTCAATCTCGCGCGAGATGAGACCAGCGGCGACGGAGCTGATGCCGGCGCAGCCGTACCCCTCGATGGTTGGCCCTAGCACACCCAATGCACCCAACTCGCGAAAAATTTTACGGTCTTCACGTTCGTTGCGGTAGGCGTCCGTCACGCGAGGAAGAAGTGTCTTCTTGCAGAACTCTCGCACCACCCGCCGGATCTCCACCTCGCTGTCTGTCAGTTGTTCCTGCAGCAGCAGCGGGTCGCCGTCATTGTACTCGGCGTAATTGAAGGAGCCACAGCGGCGGGCACAGTCAAGCACTCCACCGTGACAGCGGACGGCAATGGCAGTGCGTCTCGCACAGAAAAAACGGCAAAGCATAGATCTAAAGGAAAAAAACAAAAAAAGGATACTGCACCCACAAGAAAAAAACAAAAAAAAAAACAAACAGAAACGAGAACGAAAAGTCAGAGGCGTGAATGGCAGAGAAAAAAAAAGCGACAACGCCATTCGTTGACGACGGCCTGTTCTCATACCCTCCTTTATTTTGTCCCTTCCGGCATTTTTTTTTTGTACATCAAAAATAATCCCTCTCTCTTTCCCACACACATAATGAGGCACGCTCTGTCTCTACCACTTCCTTTAAATATCCATTTTTCCCTCACTCGCATCTGAAAAAAGCATGCGGGCAAAATCATCCGTGTTGACTTGTTGGTCCTCGTCCGCGTAGGCGTCGGCAATGACTTCGTCCGCCTCTTCCAGCGACAGCCGGACGCCTAAATTCAAGAGAACATGGCGCAGTTCGGCGGTGGTAAGAAATCCGTCGCCGTCCGCGTCGAGCACCCGGAGGGCCTCCCGCACATCCACTTCGGTTATCATCTGGTTCAGCATGGACTCGGCTGCGTCAAAGGCCTGCGCCTTCGTAAGGACGCCTGTGTTGTCCGGGTCCAAGAGCCGCACCGCCGCCTGCACCTCCGCCTCGGATGGGCAAAAGCCCCAAATGCGCAACAGCGGCCCTAACTGCTCCGTCGTGATGCGGCCGTCAGAGTCCTTGTCGAAGATGAGGAACTGCAGGGAGAATCGCTCGCGCTGCGTCTCGCTAAGTGGCATCCTGCCTCGCCCTAAACACACACACACACACACACACACACACACATCAAGTAAGAAAAACAAAACAAAACAGGAAAAGACACACAAGTGCATATTTGTCTACGCGTCCCGGTACCCATCGTGGCTTTAAATGAATCACAGGGGGGCGTGCATCAGACGTCACCGTCGTCTTACCCCACCCCACCCCTCTTTGCCCAGGTTTCTTCCTTACAAATGACATCGTCATCGCTTCACCCACTCCCAATTTTGAGTTTTTCTTCCCCACGCAAAAATACACAGAATCGCTTCGCCTCTACCGCCACCGATATGGGGAGAGTAATTCAATGGCTTCTGCCACCACACGTCGTAAAATCGCGTCGTCCTCGCCAATGGTGTCAGCCGCACAACACAAAAGCTGCGGGATGAAGTTCGACGACATAAACACGCGGATGTCGCCCTCCCCCAAGTGAATGGTATCACTGAGAGTGCGTTCACCGCCCCGCACGCATAAGTTGAGGGCCGCTTCTTGCGACAACCCAGGCTGCATGCTTTGACATGGCATGGGATCCCCTCTTCTTGGCTCGACCTGTAACATCCGCACCAGAAGAGCCGCGCAGAGTGAGACTAAAATGGGCGATGTTGTTTCAAGTAACACGCGACGCACCACAAGAACAAGACTACGTTGCTGCAGTGGATCTAAAAGAGGAATAAAGTGCGCGATGGCTTCCGTTAACTCCGCAAAGAGTTCAGGCACTCGCACGGCGGAAGGAAGTGCGCCCACAAGAACAGGGTACACACCTTCTCGCAGAAGCACGTCTAGATTTTCCGGGTATGACGCACACCGAAGAAAAAAGTGAACCGCATTGCGTTTCACATCAACACTACCGACATGTGCCTTCGCCACACTCACGACAAAACGCACCACAACGCCAACATGAGACAGGAGAATCGCCACAGGTGTCGGTCTAACGTCATTCGCCGCATTCTCACGTGGTGTACCTCCTCGATGAATGTCCACAAGCGTCGAAAAAAGCAACACTCCTTCTCTCTGCATGGCGGTGCTTAGTCCGTGCCTTTCTAACGCCGCAAGTACATGGCTGATAACAGGACTCTCCAAAAGTCCTTCAATGTCTATTAACGCCGCCTCTGCCGCGACAGCAGCGGCCTCTGCCTGCAAGTCACTCAGTCCTGCATGCTGCTCCATGACTGAGGCGAGCATTCCAAACAGTTCTTCATCATCTGCATTTACCGTAGAGATGTTTTTCTCCTCTTTCTTCTCCGCCACCGCAGCCACCAGTTGAGGTCCCGTCTGTCCGTGACGCAGGAGATGACGCATGATGCGGAGCGCGGCCAGCACAATTCTCGGGCGTCTTGTTCTGATGCACAAGACTGTGAGTTGTGGCACCTTGCATTGCGCCAACTGACTTGGTTCACTGAGAAGCGTTGTGCCCTCTTCAACCGCCCAGTAGTACACCTGGTCGAGGCGGTCCACGATGGTGTCGATGAGTTGAAGGTGCGTGGGCTCAATGGGCGCCCCGCCGTTCGTTACAAGAGCCCGCAGCGATGCAACATGCGCCTCCACCTCCGCCAGTTCTGGCAATTCTGGCAGGTGGTCGTCCCACGGCGGCATCGTCAGCGATGCCCCGTTGTCATTATGACTGTTGGCACTGTCATGCGTCCCAATCACAACCTCTCGCAGCGGCGCGGCCATCGGAACACCTGCGTGAGGAGAAGTGGAGTCGCGGTGTTGTTTCCGTCTGCCTGTCCTTCAGTCAATGTTTGTGCACATGTACACATTGCATGCGTGCATCACGAGAAAGAAAATAAAAACAAAAGAAAATAGTCAAGAATAAAAACGATATCAAAAAGCAACCACAGTTATATCATAAGGCAAAGAAAAACGCACGCAGAATAATAAAAAAAAAAAGCAATGCCTCACTTTCAAAATGAAACGCAAGACGCTAAGAAGAGCCCCAGCCAAAAAAGTAAAAAAAAAAAGATAAAAAAAAATTATACATAAAATATTATGCCCGCTTCCCCCTTGGATCGTGCACCATACAGTTTGCCATGCCCAGCAGGTTGATGGGAGAAGTACCATCCGTGACGAGGAATCCTTTAAGACCCAGTGCTTGCAGCAACTTCGCCTTTAGCTCTGGACCTGCCCGTGCAATTGCCGTGACAGTTCCTCTCCCTAAGGCGGAAAATATCTTCTCCACTTTGGTGGCTTCAATGTCGGCCAGTGCTTTTGCTTTCTGAACCGCAAGGTCATTCATGGCACGACGGTGGGAAATCTCAATCTCCATGCGTTCTCGTTGCAAATCCAACTCAGCGTCCGTCATGAATTCAAGCGCACGACAGCGATTAGGCGTTACGTCCAGTTCTGCCTGCAGCTCGACAAGCCGTGCCTCACTTTCTGCAAGAGTTTGGGCCCTGCTGGAGCCGCTCAATTCAATGGCGGTATTTTCCGCAGTGACCTGAAGTAATGTCACACGTTCTGCCTCTTCCGACGCCTTGTCCTTCATGATTTGCAGCTCGAGTGTCCCTCTCGCCTCTTGCTCCAACAGCATTGCCTGGTGGGAAGCCTCATTTTCCTGCGATTGGGTGATAATTTCCACGGCGAGTTGCACGCTCTTCTTTAGAGCGTCGCGTGTATTCGGCTCGACAGGCTCCACACTCTGTACATCCACATTTGTGATGAGGAGACCATTGACAGGGAAGTACAGGCCGTCCTCCCGCATCTCCGTCGTCCCTAAGTGGGAGCGAAAGATGGCCTGCCGAATCAAAGAAGAGGAGTTGCGGTGGAACTCCTCAAAGGACTCAGACGCGATTGCAGCACGGATGCGGTTCGCAAGCGTATTGCAAGCCTTACCAACAAAATCAGGCAGTTCAAAAGCAATTTTCTTGATGCGCTCCATGTCAGTTGTGTCAAATTCCCAATTGTACGCAAGATGAAGCATCAGTCGGGCGTGATCGAGCGTCTCGACTTCAATCACATCCGCCATAAAATCGGGTCCCAAAAAGAGACATAGTGAGTGGATGCGATTGGACGCCTTTGGGCGGCCCCCGGAAAGGGAGATGGGTGTAAACTCCTCGTTGGGGGCGAGAAACAACGCGGCGGGTCCCTCCTCCACACGACTGGTATTCGTGCTGGAATCATACAGTCGCACCAGGGCATTGTGTGGGACCTTGTAGAAGACAACCTTGTGGGATGCATATGGCTCCTTTTCAGAAGCCGATTTTAGTGCACCGGCGTCGTACACAGAGAATGTGTCCGCTTGAAGAAGACGATGCACAAGAGGACTGATCGGCTTTTCCCACAGTATTTCATCCGCAGCAAGCATTATCGCCTGGCCATGTACCGCCCTCACCATGCCAGTACGCACGTTACGCACATAAACGCCTTGACTGCCAGTAAGCAACAATCTTTCTCGCCGCTCCAAGACGCAAACATCCAAGGGTGGAATATAGCTGCACGGCCCGGACACCAACCAACGGGATGACACCTCCCGCCATGTGTCGTCCTCCTCCGCAAAACTGCTTACCGCCTCCACAAGGAGAGCCTCATGATCCCCAATGAGATACGCATCCTTCACCTCGTTGTCCTGCAAACTTTCCCCGGGTTTCAAAAAGAAGGAACATGGCCCCTTAAGAAGTTTCCTTTTACCGTCATGAACAGCACCATCCTGCACGGTTCTTAATAGGATGCAGTACTGTTGTTGCCCAACGATCGTGAGAGGGACGGTCGTCTCAGGATCCTCGTCCTCAGTTGGCAGGAATAAAGCCACTTCATCATGCGTCACAAGCCAACGGTCCCCTAGGCAACGTTGGATTCCAAAGCGTGTGTCGTAAAAAGAATGCACTGCCCGCACATGGAGCGCCAAGGTCGGTGAAAGCGTGATACCCTTCTTAACAGGTTCTTGTTTTGTGTACGGCCCCGGAAAAAAAACGCCTTGCGTCAATAAATTCCATTTCTCGCCAACACGTCGTGCTGTACCGTCTGGGTCCTTAAAGTCCGCCATGGCACACAACTGAATGTATTCATTTGCCGAAATAAGGAGTGGTGCCACTCCTCGAAGCACTTCCTCATCGACACGCGGGACGTACGCACCAGGCCCCTTCACCAGCCACTGTTCCCCAGCAATGCGTTGCACCGTTTTCCCCGTGAGTTCCTCTGTAGTTGTGTGATCTTCCAACGCCCGCACAATAATGGCCTCTTTGGAAGTAAGAATGCGCATTGGTTTCAAATCAGAAGCTACCTCACCGGGATATAACGGGAATGGAGGTTGCGACAGTCGCACCTCACGGTGCCCCATCCGGTATGTAGGCTCCCCGCCATCTGGCGACAGTACAACTGGATTCTGCACCTCGCAGTAGTGATTGGGTGGAATGACAATGTGGTGCTGCGCATTCTTATGAAGGTTGACAAGATGGTCGAGCAATGTAATGCAGCACGGCCCTTCCAAAAGCGTCACCTTGCATGTATTGTTGTCAAGTATGTGAACATACTCGTATGGCTCCAGCCGAACGACACGAGGATCCATTTTATTTCTCGCTTTAATTATTTCTTCACTGTCTCCCTCTCCCTCCTCATTTCGCATTTTTTTTCCTTCTCCCTTATGCATGTATGTAGAGATATTTTTCGGTGTTTTTTTATTTGTGTCACTCTGTTTTTCTTTTTCTTTTTCTTTTTTTAAATCCTTTTCCCTCCTCGACGTGTCGCACGGAACCCTTGTTTATTACCAACTTCTTTGATAAATATATGCAGTGATATCACTTTGCCAGGGGACACTCACGGCCTTCGCTTCACCGGCACTAAAAAAAAAAAAAAAAAAAAGAAAAAAAGAAAAAAAAGCACCACACATGTCTTCATCCCTTACAATGGGAGGGAAGGAGAGCGTGTGAGTGAGGGCGCATGTGCATGAGGCCAATAAAACAAAAGGAGACAAACACGTCTGAACGTTCTTCACAATTTTCAACCTCTTCCGCACGCATACATGCGGAGGGAATTAATTTATATATATATATATATATATATACCCGCATAATAATTACATACCATGTGAGAAAAGATCTACTTATCCGCACACCAGCCGTCACTCTCACTTTCCAAAAATCTCTCTCTTTCTCTGTGCTGAATATCAATGCTCCACTCCTGGGGAGTAAATGGCATGGGCCCTGTTTCTTTTTGGGTATTTTACTTCACCACCACACTGGATCGTCTTTGTGCACCCGTACACCCGTACATACATGCAATTATTTAGGGAGATTTGTATGTGAATGTATACAGCCACTATATTTTTCCTTTCCCATGTCGCTTCATTTATTACAGTCGTGGCACTGTACACCCAGGGTGGTTCTTACACCTAGCGCAAGAAGTTGGAGAAAAGCAGCGGAGTTTTCCGCATCCGCGTGTTCTCCGCCGCATACAATGGTAAGGGCCCGAATAAACACCTTCAAAGCGACGCGGTAATCCTCTGGGGTAACACCAATGGCTTGCTGACTTCGTCCAATAGCCTGCAATACGGTTTTGCTTTCAGCCCAGTCTCCTTCTCGCAACATACTTCGCATGGTCACAACAATCACGCGCAGGAATGAGTAGCTGTAGAGCTCCTCCACGTCCACGGGAGGGAACACATGCTCTCCCTCGTCGTCATTCCCTTCCCAGACCCTCAACTCGCCATGCCCCGTTTCCCTCCCTCCATCGTCTTCCTCAAGCGCCGGCTTTCCATCTTCATCTTGTAGGGAGAGAGTTGCCCTCCAGTGTGTCTCAATGTCGACAAACACCATGCGTATAAAATGATCCTGTATCAAAAAAGACATCTCCAACGCCACAGTGCGCATGACTTCATTCAACAGTGGGGCCAATGCACATTGGGGAATAAGTGATGGTTGCTTGCTCTCCAACGTGCTGTCAGCTGCTTTCAGAGAAGAGCTCGACAACATGGCCCACAGGATGAGGGCCTTCTTGACAATATCCGGCGAAAAGGAGTTGGGGGAGACAGCGTAGTCGTATAGCGAGGAAATAACATTAAAAGGGTCCTTTTTCAGTGCCGCCTGATTCACCTCTGTCACCCGCTGAATGCGCTGCAAGATTTGGGGAGAACACGGGTTGCCAATAACATTGAGCTGTGTCAGAATTTTATTCCTTCTTGTGAGGCGGAGGAGCTGCTCTGCGCCACATTCGTGGATGTTGTTGCGATACAGCGAGACCTCTCGCAGGAGGCGGTGCTTGTGGAAAAGGGCAGCGATCCAATAACAGGTGAAATCCCCCAGGCTATTCTGATCGAGCACCAGCGAGCTGAGGGACGGACAGTGATACAGTGTCGCTAACAAAGGAGCCAGAGCCTCCTCGCCAAGAATATTACGACGCATGTCAACAACACTCAGAGCACACCAACGACAAGCCCCGATATTCCCGTCGTCCACGGACAGCAGCTTGGCCACTTGGTCGGAAGGATTCAGCGTCTTGTTAAAGAAATGCTCGTAGAAGCGGCGGTAATGCTGGTGGAGCAGAAAAAGAGGCAACGCACCGTACGGCAACCGCAAAGCGGGAAGCAGAAATGTCGTCTGGATCTCGCGTTTTGGCATATGTAGAAGATTGCGAGCCTCACACTCAGCCGCGAGCATGAAACGCAGCGGCTCAGACATATCGAGGGCACGCACAATAAACTCTACTTCCATGCCCGAACACACGCCATCATCGTCGTTCTCGTCGTCTTCATGGGTTTCCTCTAAAACGCAACTCTTGTCTGTGGTGGGCAACGAAAATCCCTTCCCCCACACAGCGCACTGGCGCAACGCGTCAGCAGAGACATGTGCAGCCACCACACCACACTTCTCATGTGCAATATTAAGCAATGATTCAATAATCACCTTACGATGTGCAATAGTCGCCTGAAGGGTCCCACGCGCAACCGCAACCTCTAGATGCAGCTCCACGCTCATTCCATGGCCGTTGTCACCACGCACAGCAGTACCATTATCATCAGCAATGTGATCCTTCTCGTTATTTTGCTTCGGCGTTTCATAGGAAAGACTGAGGCCACCTGCGACGGCAGAGACTGGTAAGGCGCGCTCCAGCATGACGGGGATGAGTAGCTCCTCAGCCATCTCTGCGCTTTTCAGCGGGTGCATGGAGGAGTCAACATATTCGCCCATTCGTTCTTCCGTTTCGTTGCCTTCCTTCGGTAGAATCGCCATCCGCACAAAAAAGTTTACCCCGTTGTTGTTCTGCATCTTCGTGGGAAACACGGCATCCTTTACGCGCACCTCCGTGAGTGTCACCGCCACGCAGCCAAAGAACAGTACCTGATGATCCGCCATCCGGTGATGATCGTCGTTCTCTCTTCTCCCTTCTTCTCTTTTTGCCTTGTCTACGGCTGTGGGTTCAGTTCCTTTAAAAAGAGTGAGTGACTGTGTTTCTTTACTTCTACTTGTGCGTTGCGCTATTTGTTGTGCGCTTCCGCTGCCACTCCCTCCCTGATTTCCCTCAACCCCGATGCAAAACAGATGCGTGAGAGGAGAAGTGCGCACGAGCGACAAAGAGGGAAATGACACGCACGCACACACACAGAGGAGAAGGGAGAGACAGAGGCGCAAGTGTGTGTGCCCCCGCACTTACATTCCCCAAAGGGGGAAAAAAAGATTAAATGAGAAAAAAATGTGCTTGTCTTGTACGTGTGTGTGTGTGTGTGTGTATGTGCTCTTTGCTGCATAATGGCAAAATCTGCGCAAAGAAAAAAAATATAACAATTCTACATGAGCGAGATGGGCCTAAAAACAGGTGTGCCCCCCCAACACGCACACACACACACACACAAACAAACAATAAAAAAAAACAAGCAGCGCCAGTTCGCTAGGGGAAAACACATTGCAGTGGGATGTGCACTGCACATGGCAAAGTTAAAATATACATGCAAGAGAAGTACACACTTCATTCACCATGCTGTTGCTGCTGCTCCGACGGCGAAGTTGGCACAGGTGGGTGCGGCAGCGGCCACTACTGATGCGACCCGTATCCGACGCAGCAGTATCCTGCCCAGGTGCGAGGAGCAAAGCGGAAGAAATTATCCTCTAGCAGTGCCCGAATAGCCCACGCGAGAAGAAGTGCTTTGTGGCGATAAAAACATGCCGCATCATGACCGCCAACTTCATCCTCATCGTTTGCTCTCACGGGATGCTTCAACTCCGCGTCCGATGTTGTTGTTTTTGCCGTAGCGATTGCTGTCGTGGCCACCTCATGGCTACAGCTGAATCTTCGTGGCTTATTGTTTGCCTCCGAGAGCAGCTGGAAAAACTTTGAAAAAAGCTCCGACGGAGTCATATCGGGCGTGCACCACTGCCCAACAATGACACAAGGCACACCGCTGGAGAAAAACCCACGAATAAGCCCCTGAACATCGTCATGTGTTCCCGCCACACGTGCGTTGGACATGTTTGTGTTGCTAATCACCACGAGCTCCGCAAACAGCCGCATTCGTGAAATTTCAGAGGAGCGCAGCAGGTCAATCTCCTCATGTGAGACCGCCATGCATATGGCACCAGCACTATTATCGTCATTGCGTGTTGCACTCGTTGTGGATGTTGCGATAAACACCGTGCGACTCTTCGGCAGGAGCTCCCTGAATGCGTCGAGGTCCTCCACGAGCGTCTCGGAACTTGTGGTGACGCAGACGGAGTCTGTCGTGCGGGTGCTCTGAAGAACACTGCGCTTGTTCTCCGCCAATGTGCGGACAATCAAATCCCCCTCCTTTCGAGAACGCAGCGAATCGAAAGGAAATGCCACATGCGACAGCAGATGCAACGCCGGCGCGTCAATCTCACGCTGCACCAACACCACGTCACGCTGTAGGTCTCGCTGGAGTACACGTTTGGCACTCAGCACAGAGAAGGCGCATTGCGTGGCACAAAATGCAAGCTGTACCGCAAAGTCCTCCACAAGAAAGTTGCCGTTCCGCGCAATGAGTGCGTTGAATGGCACGAGCCACAGCTGCTCCGTCGGGATCATCGTGATAACACCGTTTTTGCTCAGGAACAGCGGATCAAGGGCACGAAGAAACTCCACGACGGGATCCACAAAGATGGCGTAGAGAGTCTGAAGAGGCTCAACCCACGCACGCTTCGGCAGCGATAGCGTGATCTCCGTCTCAGTGTTGCCGCTGGAGGAAAGTGGGTCAAGAAGAAGTCCCCTGCGAAGTGTTTCAATGAGTCCATTGATGGAGGGCACCTTAAAGTCTTTTGTGACACCAACCTCCACGAACCGCATCTCATTTCTCTGCAGCACCACCCACATGAGCAACTTCTCATCCACCACGTAACATCGCTCATCCACGGACCAATCATAGCGGTGTGTCGCCACCTGATAAATAAACGGCGATCGAATCAGCGACGATGTCGCCACAATGTGCTCCAAAGTCGGCTGGGCGCCAAAGTTTACCCGCATCTTGTCAAACAAGAGGTCGCGGTACTTGCACACAAGGCTGTGCTCCAGTACCTCCAGTGCCTCACTGTAACGGTACGTGCTTGCAATACTGGAGACGAGGTACTTGAAGCTAACAGACTCCATGATGGAGAAATAATCCGTCGGCACAGACGCAAGCAGTTTCGAGCCGCAAGTTTTGTCCTCATTGCTGTCGGCGGTGTCGTCACCCCCGTTTTCTTTTTTGCGCTGCGACGAAGATGCATCACGAAGTGTGCCCCATTCTAGCACTGCTGCGCGCAACAGGGGTTCTGCCGCGGCGTACCGTGAACGTTGCCAATTGACAATGGCACTGAATGTGTGTCCGGCCGCACGCAGGAGCGGATCGTCGAGCTCCCCCGCAAGCCATTCAAGCGTGTCAAACTGCGCCTGTGCCTCGCTGAGTTGGTTGGTTGCGAGGTAAAAGTTCCCAATTTGCGCGGCTGCAAGGGCTGCAAAGAGTTTGTGGTGTTCCGCGAACACGTCACAGGAGGCCATGTCTGTCCACAGTGAACTTAGCATGACGCACTCATGGTAGCTGTAGAGGGAGGTGCGCATCCAGCTCAAAGACTGCGTGTCCTCCGTGTCAAAGCACCGCTTTGCGAGAAAACACGCGACTGTGTCAAGTGCCTCATTAACAACATTCTGTAGGACACGACTTTCTGTGCCGCCAATACGCTGAGTCACACGCCGCGACGCCGCCCACATTTCCACAGCCTCCTTCACTAGCAGCATGCGAGGCCACACATTCACGTAAGTCTCTGTGTGTTGCACCATCACGTCCGTACCGGGAACAACGAAGTAATCGTCCTCGGTCAGTTTGTGCTCATGCACCTGCTGTGCCCGCTCGAACACCTTCAACGCCGCCTCATGACAGCGCTGAAAGACAGCGTGCTGCACATCTTTCCGTGCCTTGTGCATATCGGCTTCCCACTTGGCGTTGCGTGCCTCCTGCGCCACTTCCTGGGCACGCTGAAAAATAAGATCTGCCTCCTCAAGATGGTCCTGCTTGAGCTCTTCTACCCCCTCGCGCACCAAAATCTCGTAACTCAGACGCTTCAGGTTGCTTGAAAGAACTGCCATCCACTCCCGATTCTTTTTACTTGCCGCAATGTTCATCGCCTCATTCCACGTCGTATACGCCTCATCAAAGTCGTGTCTCACATAGGCGCGGCAGCCACCGTCAAAGAGACGCTGAAACTGCTCGTTGCTGTCAAGCATCATCCACTGAGGCGTGTCCCGCAAAATATCCAGTGGAATGTCGTCCGAATTGTTTGTTGCAACCAATTCGGATTCTGTTTTTTTTTTCGCAATCGCATCTTCAGCATCCGTTTGCTCGGCTGGTGCCACAACATGTGCATCAGCGTCCGGAAGAGGGGTTGCGTCTGCACCGGCCTCGTTGTTATCGCCACTTTTCCCTTTCACAATCAACTCACCTGTAGAGTTGGAAATGCTCGCTGCGGCATCCAATTCCTCTGGACCCTGCATGCCGTTATCCTTATCCTTCTGCTGTTGTGGCAATAAAGACGCATCCACATTGATCTTTGGACTCGCCATTTCGGTAAAATCGGTGGTCTGTGCGTGATGGGATAGAGGCGATTTCCGGTTCTTCGTGTTTTCCGGCAGGGAGACCGCCGTCGTCGTCTTCGCTCCACTCTTCTTGCGGGACGAAGAGCTCTTCGCGGTTTTTTCCAACAACATCAACTCCTCCCGCGCACGGTCCGCCGCCCTACTCGCCTGGCTGCTGTTAATCTCGCGAGACAGGATCGCCTTCTCCTTGTAGCGTCGCTGTAATTCCTGCCGCTGCAAATCCGGCAGTCGTCCGCACTCCTTCGAGGCGAGCGCAGGCTCCAGCGGCCGCGTTCTTATCTTCGTGATCACCGGTGCGACGCTTGACCGATGCGGCAGCGGCCCGATGACTTTTGAGAGCGCCTCCTTCCCAGCCGCATCCCGTGAGATGGCGGGCAGTGTGCTTAGGGTTGGCCTCTCCGCCGAGGGCCGCGTCGCTGCAGTCCCGATATGTCCACGGGACATTTGCGTTCCGTCCAGCTCTGTCGCGGTCAGCTGCGGTCTCTCTCGCATTCCTCGTCCATGGTTGGACTCCGTGACTTTTGTAATCTTGTAGATGAGTGCATCAAAGACATCGGTGTCTTGAAGGTCAACGCCGACTATGCGCGGATTTTGCTTCACAAGCGCCAGCAGACGTTTCCCTCCCGTCACTGTGATGGGGTTCTTGCGCAGACTCAGGTACTGTATGCTCAAGTGCTTCTCAAGGACCTCGCAGAGCCGGTCAACCGTCTCATTGTCCGCCCCGTTGCCGTCAAGAACGAGGGAAGTGAGGGTCTGGGAGTACTCCACAAGCCGTATGATGGGGCGCAGTCCGCGAGCCCCGAGATAATTGCTGCCCAACTCAAGCTTCTCCAGCGGGCACATCGCCCCACGGCTCTCAATGTACTGCAGGACTGCCGAGTTCACGCGACAACCCTCCTCCGCGCAGTACGTGCGGTACAGCTCGCACAAGTTCGTTTTTCCCCCCATGAAAAGTGCCCAAACACAGACGGGCCAAAAAAAAAAAAAAAAATTCCTCTTGTTTTTCTTCGCTGTTGGCGGCTTCTACCTTTTCCTTGCACAAGACACACACACACACACACACAAAACGGGATAAGCAACGGCACACGAGGGGTGCATCCAACATGTCTGCCCCCTTCTCCTCAGTGGTGCAAAGCGCCACTCACACAGACGGGAGCAAAATAACAAAAACAAATTACCCCCACATACACATACTCCCACTGCCACTGTTAGTAGCAGCAGCAAGAAGAGAAAAGCAATTGAAAGTAACACTCTTCACGGTAAAACCATCTACTCTACAGCGTCTAAAATCGGTGGAGGTTCGAGACGGCGGCGGCGGCAGAATCGACACCACGGCGCGTCAACAACTTCTCAATGCGGTTCATACTTTCCTCCCGTGCCCGCCGCTCATGAAGAAGTGCATCCTGCAGTTGCGTACATGTCTCCTCAAAGAGCTTTAAAAATTCAGACTCTTCTCTCTTATGTCGTTTCAACCACGACCGGTGCCGCTCCAACTCCTGCTCGACATGCGACGATAGCTGGCTGTTCCCTGTGCGGGTCGCCGCCACTATATCCGACAGTCGAGCCAACTCATTGGCGAGAGATTCCACCACATGATGGAGGGAGTCAAATCGCTCCCGCTCCCGCTGCTGATGCTCCGTCGCAAGCCGCTCCCTCTCCTCCAGTATCAAATCGCGCCAAATATTCTCTGCCTTCTTCTGCGCTTCCTTCGCGGCCGCCGTTGCCTTCTGCCACTCCCGCTGCAGGCGTGACATCTCTTGGCGGCACTCATTTTCCGCGCTGGTGAAGTTCCCCCGCATCTGTGAGAGCTCAAGCTGCATGCTCTTCAGCTGCCCGTACAGATCCTGCTCGCGCTCCTTTTCGCGGCGCTCCACGTACTCCAGCCGGTCCTGCACTGCGCGAAGCTCCTTCCGCGAATTGGCCATCTTGTGCACCCAAGACAATAGAACCAACACCACCACCACCACAACAACAAATACAGCTGCTAAAGAGAACAACAACAAAAAAGAGGAATCCAGCGACAAGAACAGCAGAAAAATTCAAGAAGAAACAAAAAGACACACGATACACAAATGCAGACCACGCCGTAGATAAAACTCGTGCTCGCCATGTTAAATCTGCATCAACTCATTTAGAACAATTAAGACACCGCTTCGTTTATGGATCATTTTAGCTAAGTGGTCCCAACAAAAAAGAAAAGAAAAAAAAAAAGAGAGAGAGAGAGAGAGAGAGAGAACAAAAAACACAAACACACGCATAAGGCCTATCCTTTTCGCTTTCTCTCATCCTGTCCCACGCGGGTCTTAAAAGTTAGGACGAAACAGCGGACATGCGCTGCAATAGTCGCATTACTTGGCACTGACGGCGGGCAAGTTTGGTCCAGTCATCTGGTCTGTGCATGTACAGCTCCACGCAACACTTCGTCATGACCTTACGTGCGATAAAATCCCGCATCAGCGGGCGATTCGCGGCGGTGGCATTTCCATCTTCCTCAACCTCCCTACTTTCATCACGGTCTTCCACTTTAGATGCCTTTTCATGGCCGTGCTGCAGACTGGAGTAAATGGGCACCAGAAGCTTTACAAGTTCCTCCTTCACCTCCAGCGACCCCACCTCGTAGAGCACCTCCACTACATACGCCGCGTACGTGTCGCCCACCAAATCGTGCAGCAGTGACGCAATCCGACGCAGAAAACGCATCGGCCCAGTTTTATCCAATTTCTTCTCTTCCCCTTTATTTCCCTGTGCATGCGGCAATGTCTGGACAACCGCCGCTGCGCGTAAATACTGTTGCACAACGAGACTTCCCTTCCCGTGTCGAATGAGGAACTCCATGTCTTTGAGGGAGAGTTTGTCCATCGCATGGACGAACATCGCCGATGCCAGTGGCTGGAAATGGAGAATGTAGCGGGCCAACTCAGCGCCTTTTTCATGCGCGTTCCCGTCAACAAGAAGGAATTGTGCGGCGCCCTTCTTACACTCCTCATTGATCGCAGAACAGAGAGTTTTGATTACTGTCTCCTGAAAATTGACGGAAACCGTAAAGTAACGCACCCCTCGCGCCATATCCGTGCGCAGCAGTTGGTCAATGTCCTTTGGCAGTGCATCACTGCTGCTTTCCACCGCCCCGGCCACGGCGATGTCGTTGTAATTATTGCCATTGTTGCCACCGTCTCTCGGCCCAAGTGAACCAGAAAAGGCACACTTTCGCGCAAATGCCGCAAGCACATGCATGGGTGCCGGTAACGAGAAAAACATCCGTATCCGTGGTTTTAACAATCGCTCCCAGACACATTCCAGGTGCACCGCCGTTGGGGCAAAGAGCACGAGATCCTGCAGCACGTAGTGCACCGGGTTCATTTGCTCCGCTGCAGGATCAAAAATATCCTCAAGCACCTCCATCACAACATCAAGGGCCTTGTCCCAGCATGTTTTCTCCTGCGCTCGGAGGGCCACCACACGCTCTTCCTCATCCGTCATATTATCTGCCGTTTCGCGTAGAATTTCTTGAAGTCTCCGCCCCTTTGCGGATGTGAGTTCCGCTGCGGCCCTTGCCCTGCGGTTTGAAAGAACATCACACGCCTCCAACAGTTCCAACGGTACTGGCACTTTAATGTACGCCTGAAAAATGTGACAACCCATCGGATCCATCAGAAGATGCCGCAGCAATGCAACTCCATCATCGTCATTTATGGACTCCAGACGTTGACGGACGGCAACGTCGACTTCAGTGCCCGCTTCACACACGCGAAGAAGGCTTTGCAGAATGAAACTGGCGGTTGGTGTGTTGGCGATGTTGAGCCACACATCTGCAGCGTGCCGGGAGTTATGGTCCCTAAACGTAGCCTCCAATCCTCTCATTAGGGCAACGCCCAACGCACCTAGTGGCTGCGTGAATTTCACCACATGTTCTAGCGCTGGAGCCCCGCGAATTGTGAAGCCGCCGAGCACCAACACGATGGACCGCACCGCACGGGCGGCAACCTCATGCACAATAATTTCCTCTGCCCGCTCAGATAATTCCTCCACGACGTACGTGATGAGGGTGGCAGCACTCGGCACACCACTTCCAGCGTGAACGCCTGGCCCGCCATCCGTCATTTCCGCCTCAAAGGATTCCACCTCGTCATCAGCCAATGCACTGAGCGCCTGTGCCAGGCTCGCCAAAAGTGTCTCCATCGTGTAACTTGCCGTAGGGGAGGTTACGGTGTCAAACACGTGCCCTAATAGAACATAAAGAAGCGACTTACTGTGGAGAAGAAGAGAATTTGCCAATGCGGACTCAATAACACGGCATACGAGGCCATTCCTCAAGAGATGCAAGGTGGAATCGGCTTTAAGAAGTTTTATAAGCTCCACAAAAAAGCCATCCACAATTGAGGCCAACGTACTCGCATCCCCGGCTCCAGATGCCTGTTCCTCTAACGCTCTCTGAACCGACTTGAAGTACGACAGGGTACGCTCCATCTCCTTCTTCACCTGTCGTTCCTCGCGGCGCCTCTGTAGTTTCACTTCAGGTGCAAGATCGGCGTATCGCACACGAGGCTGTTGTTGTTGTTGTTGGTGGTGGTGGTAGCTTTGATGATCGTCCCCGTCCCCGCGGTATCTCTTCTTGGGTCCCTTCATAACCCAAGGCGTGTAATACACACACACACACACACACACACAAACTGACAGGAACACCGGCTGCGTCATCCATAAACAATCAATAAAATCGGCACAGAAAAAACAAAAAAAAGGATAAAGAAAAAAAACAACAACAACCTCATTCACAGACAGAAACGTCAACAAAAGTGACATGAGAAGCAGAGAGATGGAGAGAAAAAGTGGCACCGGACAAAACGTCTTTCTCCCCTGAATCTCACAGTCCACCACCGCATCCCCTCCCTTCCATTCATTCATTCGCAAACGTCTGCAACAAGTTGCCCGCCCAACACCCACAAGACATGCTCCTACAAGTGAACCACGACCCCTTTGCTCTGCAGGGCGGCGTACTCACGTGAAGCCCCAACGGTGGCCGCAAGGTGGGGTGGGACGGAGCCGTACAGCCCAACAAAACGCAGCGAGGGCAGCGCCTCCAATGCACTGAGCAAATAGAGGATGGCATCCAACTTTTTGACGGCGTTGCCATCCAGAAACACTCGTTCCAGGAGAGTCATAGCGGGAAAGGCATCCGCAATTGCCTCAAACCCCTCCGCGCCGATACGGCAGCTGGAAAATCTTAGCTCTGTCAACGCCGTTAACGAGCGTAGGGCTGAGACTGCCTCGTCTGCATCCCCATTAGTGTCATCCGTTGGGGAACCATCCACGAGCAGCGACGCACCGACGCTTCCCAACCCCGTGCATGAGAGATCAAGTTTCTGCATCGACGCGGATGCACGACGAAGTAATTTCGCAAGCGCCTCCAGGCTTTCCATTCGAGTAAAGAGGGGGTTGGCGCTCAGGTCAAGGTGCGTCAGGCGGCGGACCACAAGCGCCCCAGCCATCGCCAAGAAACAATCATCTGTCAAAGAGCAGCTGGAAAGCGAGAGACGGCCCAGTTCACGACAACCCGACAGCGCCAAGCCTAGCTGCTCAAATGACACCACGCCCCCAATCGATTCACGTGAAGAAAGAGGTGTTTGGAACGACTCGGTTCCTTTAAACCTGCGGCGGCCTTCAATTGCGTCACGGCGGTCGAGCTCAAACGATGTGGATACCTTCCAATCGCCATGACTACCGCCTTGCATGAATTTAGGATCGTACGCAAAGAGCTGCAAATCCCCCTCCGGTGTTTCCCTTTTATCTTCAGTAGTTGACGCATCTCCGGCATCGACCACCCGTAAATCATTCCGATCGAGGCTGATCTCCTCCAGCCTATCGAAGAGAGGCAACGCGGCACAAAGTGCGGGAAGACATCGTGCCGTCAGTCGACAACGAGTGAAATCGAGCGAACGCAGCTCTGGCCAGTACTTGGCGTACTGCAGGAGGGCAAAAAGTCCCTCATCCGAAAGCGGGTTCGAGTGAAGATTGAGGCACCGCAGGGAGGCTGCCGCGATGAGCGCCGAGCCGATATCTGCCGCACCCTTCTTTGTAAGTCGATTGTGCCGCAGGTGGAGCTCACGGAGCATCCCACAATGCATGCAGACACTCGCCAAGACAAACGCGCCCTCATCGTCCATACTGTTGCTGCTGAAATTCAATAACTCGATCTTTGCCGTCTCACCATGGGACATTTCGCCGACATCGCGGAGCAACCGCCGTAAACCCCACACCGAAACATTCGTTTCCAAAAGATTCAATTGTCGCAAGCGATACCACCCACCAATGGACATGCGGAGGGTATCCACAAGCTGTTCCATCACCACATCACCAAGTAGAGTGGAGCTGAGGTCCAGAACCTCCAGTTTCCGCATCTGCGCCACTGCGAAACGCAGAAGAGGCACACGCGGGAGAAGACCGCGTGTACCACGCAGTGAGAGGTGTGTTAGTAAATGACAATGGGCTATAGCTTCGCAGAGCACCATCAGATCATTTTCGTTCGCTCCTTTTAAATTGATGTACTCTAAAGACAATACTCGAAGTGCCAAAGAAGGGATGTTGGCGGCAAGGGCCCGGAGAGACTTTTGGTTCCACTGCAGTCCGTGCTGCATATCACATGCCACCATCGTGATGCATAGAGAGTTCAGGTTAGATGTGAAATGGGCAGTACTTCGAAGCAATGTGGCGAGGGACAAGTCATCCCGCAGGAACGCCGCCTCGTGCAGCGTCAGATGAAGGGTGCGTAGGGACTCCACTTGTGCACTGCAGAGCACGCGGGCCAACGCCCCTCCAACGGCCGCAGATGTGACCGCCACAGCAATGCGCTCGACTGAATGTGCTGCTGACGACATGGCTGCGCAGCAGCAACGCAACACTTCGTTGGGTGCGTGACTTTTATTCAATGATGACAGAAGGGCGAAGTCCAGGTCCCACTCCGTCTCCTGCTGGGCTCGTTGGCACATGTGGAGGCGTAACACGTCGATGGAGGGACAGGCGGCCACATCGTGAAGGGTCCAGAGCCACCGCATTGTCGATATGGCGGCATTTGCGTGTTTGGCTACACGGCGCATGTGTGACAGCCCACAGAAGCCGATACTCCCCTCACACACTCGCACAGAGGGATTTGAAAAAAAAAAAAAGAGAGGGGCGAAGAAAATTCCCTCCTTCCCCCTTCAATGGGACAGAAAGCACCAGGGCCGGAAAAACAAAAACAAAAAACAACAACAACAGGATAGATAAAAAAAAACATACATTTTCCTCAAAATATATTGCACAACACACAGCACACATCTATTTGCATGTATTTACATGCACAGTGTTGGCCGAGAAAAAGAGCCAGAGAAAAAATCCGAAAAAAACGACAACCTTTCATTCAAACGATATCTATGATGTCAAAAGAAAAGGGTGCTGCAGCGCCTCCTCGACCGTCAGCCTGCATTCAGGGTTCACGCGAAGCATGTTGCGAACCAAATCTACAGCCAATGGGTCCGGCACCATTCCTAGGGCGGGGTGAATCTGCAGCACTTCATCCGCGGTGCAGATGCGTTGAAACAGCAACGAATCACCGCCATCCACAACCTCCTTCTCTTCTTCAAAGGGAAAACGGCCTGTCAGCATCACGAAAAGCACAACACCCGCCGACCACACATCGATCAGCTCCCCCTTGTACGGGCACCCCATGACAAGCTCAGGCGCCGCATAGTGTTTTGATGCACAGCACAACTGAAGCATTCCGTCCTTTACCTCAAACGACGGAATAGCAGCACACATTTCAAGTCGACCCAACTTGGCCCGGTTGCTGCTGTCCAAAAATATACTCTCAAGTTTGATGTTTCGATGCACCAGACCGCACACGGAATGCAGGTAATGCAGACCGCTCATTAGATCCTGCATGGTGCGTCGTATAAAACTCAGAGATAAGCACCGAAATGGCTGCTGAGCGGGCTGACGGCCTGTGTCATTTGCAGAAGGCGCGGCCGTGCTTCGGTAGTATTCGTCCAGCGCAATAAGAAGCTCGCCGCCCACGCAGTGCTCCTCCACAAGAAAGAGGTCAACATCCGAGACGAACGCCGGCAACCCTTTCACGATGTTCGGATGATGCGCCACTCGTGAAGCGAGGGCTCTCCGTTCAATGCGCCTGCGAAGTGACGGGTGCTTGCGCAAATAATCCAGCGCGTAGACACGAATGAGCACCAGTTCTTTTGTGTCATCCGACTGCGCCACCAGCGTCTCGTGGGAGGCGCCGCTACAAATATGCTGCACGTGCGTGTACCCCGGCAAAGCCAGCTCTCGCATTGCACTTGTACTCCCAGTCTTGTTGTTACGGCTGCTGGTGCGAGCCGTCAAGGTGTCAACTACGTGCTGGTCCTCTAAGAAACACAGAGCAACAACAACAACAACAAAAAAAAAAAAAGAATAACAAAACAGCATGATCAAACAATTTTCTGTTGGTCCCTATTCCAACCGTTGTTCACTTCGTAAAGAAAAAAAAAAAAGAACGGCGACAACAACAAACAAACGAAGAAACAAAGAAAAATGTGCAGAACATTTTCTGTGGTCCGTGTCCACAGCGCCACATTCCAACCATCGCCGCCACCACATATGCAGACACAAGTACAGAAAGCTTGGTCGTACTCCACACCCCACCGCACCGTCTTTGCACAGCATTACAAACCAGAATTTATGTTAAAGATGTTCATGCACGCCTTCTTTGTCGCCCAGATTCAATTCTAGCTCCCGCGCTGCTCGTGTGGGGGACGTAGTGGTTTTTCTTCGAAATCCCCACCACAAAATCGGAGGTGCTGTCCTTCATGTCGAGTAGCGAGAGGTGCCGCGGCTGCATACCAATTATTTCCAAAAACAACGCCGTCTCCTCGCTTGTGATGCCGCCCGTCGTTCGTGCCCGCAACTCTTCCAGCCGCCGTTGCAGCAAGCGCTTCGTAAATGGCATGACATAACTGTCTTTCTCCAGCAGAGCCTTCCAGATGTGCTTGACGGCCCGTTGGCGCTCATTCGCTTCATTTATCATCACGGACCCCATGAGGGACTCTTGCAGTACAATTGGAGAGAGGCGCTGCCCCTTCTCGCGCCAATCTGAGAGCGCAGAGAAAACTAGTTCGGGCGCATGGTGGCGTAAAAGACGAACGTACGTAGCGCGCAGGAAATCGTCCATCTTGGTATGGTCAAAAAATTTATCAAGAAGCCCCTTTGCCTCGAGGGCACGGGGAGAAAACATGCAGCAAAGGAGGAAACCGCGCCACTCCACTGCTCCCCATTCTATGGCTCGACTCTGCGACAACTGCCACAGGCCAAATGCCATCTCGCTCCAGTCCTGATTCTGCGGGAGAGTGGTGTTCTCATCCAGCTCGCCTTTGCGCCGTCGTGCGTCCATCAATGCCTGGCAGTTGCGCTGATGCTCCGGTGTTTTTTGCCACACATAGACACTAACGTTGCGGTGGTTGTACGGCTCGTTACACAACGGACAGGGCCGCCCACCCCCGGAACGGGAGTAGTAAAACATCAGCCGACTCATGTCGGGGGTTGCCAGGACACACTGCGGCAAAGATACCCTCCATCGCATGAAAAGTTCCGGAACATTTGGATAGTTCAGTGCACAGGCAAGCTGCATCAGCTTTGCGGTGCTGCTCTCCGCGATGTCGATCCCGTAGCTCTCCGTGTCCTCCATCACAGCAATCATCTTCTCCACATTATCCGTCGCAAAGTAGTAATCGATCAACCGATACATGATACTGAAGTTGGGGCGCGAGGGAATATCCTGACGAAGCATCTCCAACACCTCCTCCAACACCGCATCGCATTGGAGGACACACTCATCAAAGTCAACACATCGTTCGCAGCTGATTACCCACTCCACCACGACGCCGTCACGTTTGGTGAAATTTTCCGGGAAGGCCGAGCGATAGATATTTTGCCGGTCAAAGAACCCCACAATCATCGTGAGAAGAAAGACAATGCGGGTGTATAGAACATGATCAAAGACAAGACGGTCTTCCTTACAAAATTGCACAAGTTCTCGAATGTGGGAAATTCCTTCCGTTACAAGTAGTGGCGAGCGGCCTTCGTAGTTGAAGTGGTGGGACAGCCATTCGCGGATCACCGTGAAGCCCTCTGCAGCAAAGGTGCGTGTCAAAACAAACCCCAGTCGGCGGAAATTATCAACGCAGTCAAACCACTCATGTAGACATTGCGTGCGGGGCGCCACGGCAGTCAACGCCTGCAAAACCGCCACCCGATAGCCGTGACCGTTCAGCACATCATGACAAAGGGGGTTGCGGTACAAAACGGTGTCCAGAACGTGCCGTAACTCCTTTGCGTTCTTACAGCCCTTAAGGAGGTCTTTTATGTCCTCAGAACTTGTCAACGGTACGGCTTCGCGCAGAATAGAAGCTGCGGTCAATCCACACACCTCCTGCGCATTGAGGGCCCCCTTTTCACCTCCACCTGTCGGTGTATGACGCGTCACTCCATCACCAGATATTTCAGAGGCTGTGTTAACGGTATCAGAGGCCCATTGCTGCTGCAGTTGTTCCTCTTCAAAGCCCGTTTCAGCAAAGAAGGAGCCGGAGCCGGAGCCGATGCTCAGTCTGGGCCCGGATAGGTGTAGCCCTCGACCATTCATCGGATACGAGAGGAAGCCGCTGCGGCCACGGGCAAATATGCGCCCTTCCGTCGACGAAGTGAGAAGGCGTTGAAGTCTCAAGTACATCTATTTTTGTTGCTACCCCCTCCCCTCCCCGCCACGCTACTTCTCCCCCCGTTTTCCTTCAACTGGCAGAAGAGAGAGAGAGAGAGAGAGAAGGTGCGTCCTCCACCGCCCTGATGAAAGGCGTAGTTCAAAGGGGGAAGCACATATATATATATATATATATGTATCCATGCAATCATCATCAACGACATAATAATAATAATAATAATAATTGACTTCTTCAGAAGTAATCATCCGTCCACGACTCAAATTATTACAACTGGGCGCCGCATATCCCTTGGCGAAGGGAGTGCGGGTGGGCGACAGAAGCAGGACCGACTGAACGGAGGCCACGCTCCCGCCCCACCCCCATCCTAGACACAAAAAAATCACAAACACAAGTGCAAGGCAGAGACAAAGCACTCGTTCATTCCCCACACACACCGGTGTTCCTGGGGGAGGGGGAGAGGCAAAACAAAATAATTTCCGCTAGTCCAGTTTTTTCGTTCGCGTGGATATTTTCTCCCCTCGCCGTCCACAAGAAAGAGGCCACACAAATCACAGCGTCAAAAGAAAGAGCCAAAACACACACACACAAAACAACAACAACACAAAAACACAAAGAAGAAGATGACGAATAGGAAACACCAAAAATCAAACATACACGCAGAACAACAAAAGTAAAAGTCAAAACAAACATCTGCGCTTACATTTGCGCACACGCAAACACCCAAGACTGGAATTAGAGGCAACGCAATAAGAATGACGCGTGAAAGTCAAGCAACTTCTTTACCTCTTCCTCTCCCGCACTCATCCACCAAACATGGCGTTAAAGAAGATGTCTTAAAAAAAAAAAAAGGAAAATAAAAAAAAAACGATATGGTGTAATCCGCGTTATTGAGCCACAATTCACCTCGCCCCCACATTATTGCACCCCCGTTGCAGAAGGATACAAGAGCTTACTTCTCACTCGACTTGCGTGTTTTTCTTCTTCTCTTTTATACAACTCCTTTTCAGTATATATGTATATATACGTATATACTCCTGCAGGCATGCCCATTTGTGGGACCACCGTAAAATTCCTCTCAGAAAAATAAGAGGGAGCACAGAAATATTACATACGGGGAGGGAACCCGACATTTTCCTTCTCCACAAATTTGTTTGCTTGGCATATTTCTCTCGTATATAAATATACCTTCATTTACATGCACACATAGATACATATAACACGTGCATGGGTATACTGTTGACTCCAATCCACTTTTCGTTTCACCGGGAGAAGGAAGGGGGGTGGGTGGGTGGGCTCGTGCAAAGACGTCTATAATCAAAAGCCGCAGCACAACGAAAAGAAAAGAAAAATACTTTTCACCCTTTCCCTCTTTTTGGTGATTTTGCACCTTCATTATTTTCTACAAGCGGACCAAATCCAACGTCCGTTTCTTTTCTTATTCGTTAATTTCTTTGCTTTTCGTTTCTTTTTATTTTTCTTTTACTTGCTACCTTTTCTTTTTTTTTTCTTTTGAGGTTTTAGCTAAAACAACCGAACATCCAATTCCTTTCATTGTTGTCGTTGTCGTTGTTTTTCCGTTCTCTTGTTGGGCGCCGGCGGTGGGGACGTGCCGCGTCCCTCAATCCCTCCGCAAAGTCCCCGCCCGCCAGCGCGCCTCTCCCCGGGCTTTTCCCTCCTCCGCTTGCATCGAGCATGCATCGTCGTGCTAAAGAACGCATTGGAGACGCAGACACACAGAGGAAAAGGAGGGGAGAGAGAGAAAGGAAAAAGACGGAGAAGCGTTTTTTCACCCGCCCCACGGCTACAACGCAAACAACGGGAGCTCCAGCAGTCGCTGCGCTGAAAGGCGTTCATTCGGGTCGTCCTTTAGACAATTGCAGACAAACTCGGCATCGAACTCGTCCAGGGATTCGGGGATGATGGGCTTCGCTGCGCCACTGCCAATCTGATAGACAAGAATCTGCGGCGACATCTCTAGGAATGGCTTCGCGTACGGTAACTTGCCTGTCACCAGCTGGATAAACATGATGCCGCAGCTCCAGATGTCGCTCTTCTCCTCTGGCGTACCTCTCGCAGATTCCGGTGCCAAGTAAACAGGTGTTCCCTGTATCTGAAGTCCTTTCCCTTCCATTCGGCGGCGGACAAGCTCCTGCAAAAATGCCGAGGCTCCAAAGTCCGATATCTTACAGTTTCCAGCAAGCGTGAGAAGAACATTTTGCGGCTTAACATCACGGTGTATGACACCCAGTGAGTGCAGCTTATGAAGACCACGCAACACATCCCGAATAAAGAGGCGGGCTGTTGTACCAGGGATGCTACCAAAGGCAGAAATCATTCCCTGAAGGGAACCTGCCATCATACATTCCATAACGATAATGATAAGATTGCTTTTAAAGGCATATGAAATAAATTCTACTACTTGATTACTTTTGACCTTTTGCATTGTCACCACTTCTCTTTCCACGTTGGCGATCTCCTCTTCCTCGGAGGGAAGTGGGAGAAACTTAATAGCGACCATGCGGCCGCTGAGAATATCCATGCCAAGATAGACGCAACCAAAAGAGCCCTTACCGAGGATACGGGAGCTACGCTGGTATGTGATGCCGTTCTTGGCAACAATTTCCGTGGGAATTTCAGAAGCAACCTTTGTGAGGGATCCGTCAATGTTGCACAGGGAAAATGTTGGGGCAGTTACCACCGTTTCGCTGTTAATGGAGTCAAGCGAGTCCGTACCACAAAAAAAGCTGCAGCTGCGGCAATCCGGGAACGCCAGCCCCATTCTGTTGGTAAGGGAAAAACGTTGACGCCCAGCTCCATCATTTTCCTCGTCGCCGGGATCGCCCTTCTCATCACTCCCAGTTGCAGATACGGCGGCTGTGGCACAGGCGTTGGCGGTAGGCTCACGGATGGAAGGTGCAAACTCCTCCCGATTCACTTCCTCTTTTCCAGCAGACGCACCGCTGCACCTCTTCTTGTCAGCCTCTACACACTGCTCAGCATGCTCTTCATGCGGTGACACCACCGCCACACGTAAAAGAGGTTTGGATTGATGTTCCTTAGACGCGGCGTCGTCACCTTCTCCTGTTTCGGGCTCTAAACTCGGCGTTGACCGCAGCATATTCTGAGTTTGGCTTAGCATTATGAGTGAATGCGGCGACTGAGCGTTATTTGCCTCCGCGTCCTTCGAGGGCGCATCATTAGCGGCCTTCAAGGTGGGAGACTGGTTTTGTGTTCGTTTAGAGGCAAGCACTTTGTCATGTAACTCCTGGCGGAAATTTACGGCCTCGTCTTCATATATCGACTTGGTGGGTCTCAAGTACCGCGGGGGATCTAAAAAGGAATCCTCCTTGGCGCTCTGGACACCAATATCCGATGAGCATTCCGTATTTGCAATGGCCTCAAAGTTTGGCCAGATGGGAAATGGGCGGAAGTACGGCATCGGCAGTTCGTTCTCGTGATACATGTAGTACTTGCAAAGTATCTCAATGCGGGTTAGTAACCGGCGCCCAATTCCAGGAAAACGAAGCCGTAATTGTTCAATACCCATCATGGCACGTGCAAAATCATGGTTTCTAAAATCAAAGAACACCCGTGCGTGTTCTTCCGCAAATGTTGATGATGACAGCAGCGCCCCCTTTACTAATGGTAGTCGCCGCTCCTCATAAAGTTCAAACATCACAATTGGATTGTCTTCCTCATGGTATTTGATTACGTCCACCATGATACATTCATAGAGGGATGCCAAAGATTGCTTCACCGGCTCTGACACAAGAACGCGGAAATATGGAAGGGATGATGCTAATTCGGCAAGCGCAATGGCTTGACGGGGTACGGTTCCAAAGACTGTCGTGAAGGCCTCCTTGTTGTCTTCCACTACACCACAGACGAATGGGCCCTGATGAAGAACGATGCCCACACGAAACCCAGCTTCGCGATAGCACGACAACATTTTGGCTATACTTAACGCACATGCAGCGGCTCGCTGGGCGTGATCCGTGCGGCTCTCAAAGGCATTCCAGGCGGCAGCAATGCAATCTCCGGACCGTTCGAATAACTCTCCACGGTAACGGCGAATTCGTCCAAGGAGCAAATTCATGATACGGCGGTGCGGCTTCAGGGCGGCCCTATAGTTGGTAAAGTAGGCCAACTCCACAGCACAGAGACGCACAACAAGAACGGTGGCCCCCTCCACCAGAGTCATACCGCCTCCGGCCAAGTCAATGTTGCTATGTCCCAAAAAATTATTTCCACTCGCCTCGAGGATTTCAACATCGGGAGAAATCAAACCACACCAACTGAGTTCACGTTGAAACATACCCTCCGGTCCATTGAATCTGCCCATCGCGGCCACCCCGTCCGGGATAGCAACGGTCTTAACAAATGCTTCCATGTCCATCCGATCATTCACCCCGGGGACCATGTCTTCTTCTTCTCCATCGTATTCCTCATCGTCATCCGATTCAATCTCCTCGACGATGGTCCGCCATAAATAATCTTTTCTTTTGCGCAAAGCAACCACCTGTTGCTCAAGAACATGTTGCGGGACGTACTTCTTGTTAAATCGGAAACAAAAGGAAAGTACCTGAAATGACCGCACCAACGCCTGCAGGTCCCCTGGCCAACAATTTCTTGTGTGATGAAACACCCACTGCTGCTGTTTTGTTTTCTTCCATTTGTCACCCACAGTGTTGAAGACGAGTGACTTCAAGTGCTGCACAGGGGCGCTAATGCTCAGATACGCAATCACTAACGCGACCAAAACCAGAAAGATAGCGATGCTGCTGATGATCGATACTGCGGTCAACGCTATTTCTGTCTCTCGCCTCAATGGCTCGTCATCAACAATAAACCAAACACGAGTGGGATTGTCAGAACTACATTCGTTTTTCTCTGATTCTGAACACAAAACACCACAAATAACCACGCGTGAAACACTTCCCCACAATCCCCTGTACGCCACGTACGCACCAGGCAACGCATTATGGGAGGCATTCATATCATTTTCCCTCATGGGTAACGGGTTCGTGTCAGGGCGTACCACAGTATGCCATGTGTGGAATTTTCCAGCGGCACAAATACCGTTAAAGACGTTTTTTAAGACGTGACCCAGTGGGGTTGGTTGGGCAACGTCGTATCTCGTATACTCTGCGTCTAAGCTGTGCAAAGCAACGACTATTTTTAATGATGAAAAATCCGGCAAAAAGAAAGAAGTAGCACTGTGTTTCAATGCCAACGAACTGTAGGTTGGAATAGAGTTTGCAAGAAGAAGACGTCCCACGGGTTCTTTGTGCAAAATAACTGTGAGCACTTCTGATCCGGCTCTTAAAGTCATCATAGCAATAATGAAATCGGAACGGTACACCGCCATGCGTGGGAAGCCCGTGGGCAGTTTATGTTGGGTACCTATAGAGGTCGGAGGGACAACAGGTTTGGTGGTTGCGGAAGGACACGCATACGATTCCAGAAGCGGTGTACCCAGTGGACCATACCTTGCAAACACCAAAGGAGCTCCACCGATGCTTCTGCAAAGAATACCAAGGGTGTAATTTGTGGAGGTATCATGGGGGTCGCCTCGTATCAATTCAAAATTATGTAACATATTCGTCACACCGTACTGCAGCCACTCCAGTTGATTCATAGCTGTCGCCGATGATATTCCCACTAATTCCTCCTCTGGAATAATAATATTATCTTTCACAAACAAATGAACTTCGCCAAGCAACATAAGGAAAATTAGCACAGTCACCAACATGACACCATAAAGTATCCACTTCAGACTAATACCATGCACTTCCGATGCCTCACGCAACATTTCTTCTAGCGTTACGGTGTTTTGTTCCCCCGTTTCCTCAATTCGCAATCCATTAAGTCCCAAAGGAGTACTGGGACTAGAGTCAGAGCACCTCTTGACTAAAATGGGTGTTGTTTCCTTTCCAGAGGTTCCCGCGTCCGCGGCCTTAAAATCTTTCCGTCCCTGTCGCGGGGAGGCATCTAAAAGCATCGCATGAATGCTGCCCATCTCCTTCGAGGACAAATCGGGGGAGCTTTCATTATTCATCACTTCCATACAAGAAATGCTGCGCGCTGTTCTGAGCGCCGTCGTGTTCAATAAAGCCCGAGAAGATATTTTGTTGCTCACTTCCGCGGCTGCCATCTGTTTTCCCAAATCCCCAGAATACAAATTGCTTGCGGCGGTGCTCGCTCCTACAGTTCCTAAAGCCGGCAACGTTGTGAGTTGAACACCCGCTCCCGTGGCTGAGTTCTGCTGACCCCTGGCACTCCAGGGCATGGTCAATCTAGGAATCTCTATACGATTTACTGAGGCTGGGTGGGATTTTGCGGTCTTCTGGCGAGGGGTCACGAGACGATCTCCCTCCAAACCCGTTCACAGGCTGCGTTTCACGTGCCGCAGACTGTTACACGCCCCAATAAACTTTGGTTTCCGCTCCGCCCAAAAAAAAAAAAAAAAAAAAAAAGAGATGCCTACTGCCAACGCCAGACTTTTGATCCCCCTTCTCCTCTCTCTTGGTGGCGTCCTGCGGTTACTTTTCGTGTGCGTGAGGACCCGCTGGCCTCGTGGGAGAGGAGGAGAGGGGTGAGCGGGAGAACAACTTCTTGTTTTTCTTTGCTTGTCCTCCCCACTATCCGTCCTCCCCCTCTTTTCGCTAAGGGATGCTGTCCCGTTATTCTCCCGCCTTTATCGCGCCTGTGCTTACCGCCTCTTTGCGTGGCTTCACCCCTCTAAGGCAAAAGCAGCAACAACCACGACAAAAAAACAATACAAAAAAAAAAAACAAAACACAACTCTTTTCGTTGCTCCTTCTACTCCGTGGTGGCACGGCCGTTAAATAAGAAAAGAAAAAAGGAACGAAGGAAATAAAAGAAGTGCGGGTGTGCTGAAGTAAAGAGGCGGGACGCAAACACTTCACGGCATTGAATGCCGCAAGCAAAAAAGACACATTATAGAAAAAGGAAAGAAGTTTTTTTTTTTATTCAGCCGCCGTGGGGATAAGAGAAAAAGGCACGAGTGGCCGCGGATGCCGCTTCGGGCACAAGGAAGGAGGAGAGGTGGGTGTCACGTCGCCTCCCTCCCTCCGTCCCTGCGGCGGGAAAAAAAGTTCCTCAAATGTCTTTTGTTGTTGTTGCTGCTTTTTTTTTTTCTTTCTTCCCTTCGCTTTGACCGCCGCGTGCTCTTCTGCCTGCTCACGACCAGCACTCCTACTTCTGCGCCTGCATCCTCCAGCAAAAAAAATAAAATAAAATACGACCCTCTCCGCACCACACAGAGACACGCACAAACAGACGCAAAAATAAGCACAAAAATAAACAGAAATGTGATGCTTGGAGTGTCTGAAAAAATAAATGAAGGCTCGTTCTGACTCCCCTCGCCACACAGAACCGACTGCTGTCACCTCCTTTTCCCCCCTCACTCTTTCTCTCTATTTTTCTTTATTACATCTGCTGGAGATGCTTAAGAGGCATGACTTGACACATCACGCTGGGAGCAATTTTTTGCTCGCTATCTCTATTCTCTATGGCCACACCCGAAGGATAATAATAATAATAATAATAATAACAATAATAATAATAATGGTAATAATACTGGTGATAATATCGGTTATCCTCACAACATTTAATAATAATAATAATAATAATAATCACCATCATTATACCTCGCTGCTCTTCTCCAACTTATGCTTCGTTGAAATCATGTGCGGCGAGGTCCCTTCCATCATCATGTTGTTACCATCAGCATTGGCGGGCGCGGTGGCAAATGAGCCGAGTCGCGAGGGGGGAAAATGGCGACGGAGATAATCGTGTAAGCCCCGCTGCAGGGCCGTAAAGTTATGACAAGTTTTAGGGAGAGCCATCAGGTCTCCGGTGGCGAGGGCCACCTTCTTCTTCGCATTGGCCACACTCTCCTCAAATTCGGCATCGTCTTTACCGGACCCTTCCTCCTGTTCATGCTTTAAGCGCATGGAGCGCTCCACAATACTGGCCCGTTGCGCTCGTGTGGCCTCCGCAACGTAATTAAGAAACGTCGAGAGAAACATGGAAAGAAAATAGTCTGCTTGGGAGACGTTGGTCCCACGCAATATGGTCGGCCGCTTCGCTGGGTTTGGCTTTGCAATAAGATCCAGCTTTTTCTCAAACGTTGCGGTGAATCCAATGTCCACAATGGACGGAAAAGTGGACTTGGCCGTTGACACCAGCAACCGACCAATCGGAGTTGTTTCACAGCGTCCTTTTGGGTTCACAGCAATGTATCCCCGTGTCAAGAGAGTCTTCACTATCATTGGATAAGTGCTTGGGCGGCCCACACCATTGTTCTTAAGCTCTTCAATGAGTGTGCCCTCCGAGTGCAGCAGCGGCGGTACCGGGCGGTTCTCACGGACGCTGGGAGAACGCAGCTCAAAAAACCGTGATTGCTTTAAGGACGCCAATGCGCTTCGCAAATTCGCAATAGCCCTGAATTCTTCCTGGGAGAGAGAGCGAATGACAGGGGCACCCTCCTTCTCCGTGATGTCCTCCGTCACCTCCTCTGCCACGCCGGTGGTGTTCTTATCGTTGACGCTACTGTCGGTGGTGTTATTCGTGCTTGACGCGGCGCCAGCCGCAGCGGCTGTGAAATCCGTCTTTTGGAACGCGCGAGTCCATCCAGGCTCCGCAACACGCTTGCCCTCGAGCACAACCTGCAGCTTATCTCCACTACCGCTGGTAAACTTTACTGTGGCGGCAATCTTCTCACTCTTCATGGGAATCATAAAGGACGCCAGGGTGTTTCGACGCACAAGATCATAAACCGCCCTTGTCATCGGGGGAAGTGAAAGGGACTCCCCATCGGCGTAAATATTCGTCGGGCGTATTGCCTCATGCGCATCTTCCACGTTTCCAACCGGTTGATCCGCCCCTTTGCTTTGTTTGGTGGAGTTTTTTTTCCCTGTCCTTTTGGACTTTTTGCCTTCAGGGGCAGACACAGTTCGGTCCTCAAGGCGGTAGAGGAACTCCTTGCCAAACTCCTTCTTGATTGTGGCGTAAATGTCAGTCAAGGCGCTCTCGTCGATACGGGTACTGTCAGTTCTGGGGTATGTAATGTGGCCGAGTTGAAAAAGATCCTGCAGGCAACCGCTCACTGTTTCACTGCTCATCTTTAGGTGACGATTTGCCTTTGCGATGGCGGTGGCCATTGTAAATGGCTGCGGTGGCGGCACCTCGGACGGAACAATGAGAGGCTCAAGAGGGACAGTGAAGCCGCTACAGTTGTTTAACTTCCACCCGTGCAAACATCGCCTTGCCTCTGCCTCGGTGGCCCAATGGGATGCCTCCCCTTTAACATCGGGGTTGATGGTGACTACCTGCGAAAAAGTAGTACCATGGGGCCCTGGAAACTGACACATGACATCCACAATGTAATTTGTTTTATTTTTCTCCAGGAACGCCGCTATCTTTTCTTCCCGCTCATGTATGAGGATAAGCGCCGGAGTCTGCACACGGCCAATGGAGCGCATCTGCGAATTGGCGGCCCGCACCACTGAACTTCCTAAAAAGCCAAATATCCGATCCATCGCATGACGCGTTTCAGCTGCGTTCGCAAGGTCATAGTCACATTTATCTACAAGACGCTCTCTCATTGCTTTTCGAATACCGTCTTCCGTGATGCTATGCATGTACGCACGTGAATACGGAACCTTCAGCTTTGGATACAATCGCTTTATTGTTTGGAGGGCATGGACAGCAATCAGCTCCCCTTCACGGTCTGGATCCGTCGCAAGAATAATCTCGGTGACGTTGTTTAGCTTTTCCTGTATGTAGCGTTCGAGCGTTTCCTGAATGCGTCGACCTGGAAGAAGTTGCCACTCGAGGGTGTATTCAGCAACTGTGCCATTGGGAGGAAATGGCTCTTCCCCCGCCCCACGCACCTCCGGGAAAGATATGGCCCGTGGGGTCCACTGAATCTCCTTCATTGCCATGAAGTGTCCGGTCGTCGCCATCGCCACCGCCTTTTCGGCTCCCACGCCCAGGCGCCTGAGGTGCTCCTGTTTGAAGGACCAATCCGGGACGACATTCGGGTCGCTCAGAAGCCCCTCGACCTTGATCACCTTGTTGGGTGACTCAACAATCACAAGCTTCTCCAGCGCAGCAAGGGTTCGCCGCATCATTTTTATTGGACTTGACAGGTCGCGGGCACTTTACTCAAGAGGAAACAAAGGAAAAGAGGGCATAACAATCGTAATAATAATAATAATAAAAATAAAAATAAAAGAATAAAGAAGAACGAGTGTGATGTCTCAATAACCAAAACAACAACAACAACAAAGCATCAGCTAAACAGAAGAATCCCCCGTCCAAAAAAGAACAACATTGACAGACACTATTTACGCTGGACAATTCTTTTTTTTTTTCTTTCTTAGTTTGTTTATTTTTGGTACATCTCGCGTCAGAATTGACGGCCCATTTCCACTATGTACATTTCAGACTCTGTATTAATTTCCTCCTTCTTCCCTCCTAGACGTAAGGCAAGCGTTTCTTTTCAAGCGTATAGAGTTCAATGGGGGAGTCCGCGTACACAAAGAGTTTAAACTCGCCATTCCCTTCGGGTAGTTTTGTGTGGGGAATGAAAAGAAATGGCAACGAGTCTGCCGCAGGAACGTGCGCCACAAGTGTCACCTCACTGTTGTAAGTGTAGGGAGTGGAGGCAATGGGTGTAAGTTCGCTGTTCTGCACGTTCAGGTCCAGCGCAATCATCATTCTATTGTTTGGATTGATGATAATGGGGGGCAAGAATGCCTTTTTCTTTCCCGCACGCTTCACAAGAGGCTTGTCCGGCCCCTGCGGATACTGCAGCAGAAGCGCCACGATTTGCGTCCGCCGATACGTATTTAGCGCCACAAACGGGTTGTTGATCCAGCTGCCAAACTGATCGGATCCCCCGCCGGCCGTGTAGCCGAGCTCCCAGCTGCCCTCCGCCACAGCGACCTGCGCCCACTCCTTCACGGGCTCCACTTCCACGGCGGAGGCGGAATAAAGGGCGACCGTCACAGCCGCCTCACGATACGGCATGGAGGCGTACACGACGAGAATGAGGGTGCACTCAGGCTGCACATCGACATTGCAGTCAATGACGGTTTCCCCAATTTTTTCTTCCGAGCGAGCCACAATGTCACCAGAGGAAATAAACAGCTTTCGCCGCAGTCCATTTTCCCACTGATTATCGCCACGCAGGAGCATCATGCCGAGTTCCGTCCGGTTATCGCTCAAATCATCATTCCGGACAACAACAAACAGTCTTCCCTGACCCCCAACGGGGAAGTTCAGGGCCAACTGCGGACTGCTGCGCCATGACGAAAAACGCGGAGACCCACCAAAACTACCGTCAGCCAAGGTAAAAGAAACAGACTTTCTGTCACGGTACCAGTCAAGTCTTGGATCTATGCAGCAAAACCTCGAGGAACGATTGGCGATGGCATCGATCCAAAATTTACCCCCAGGTGTGGCCTCGGTGCAGAAGGGCACAATAATGTACGGCATTCCTCTTCGCTCCTTCATTCCGAGAAGTCTTACTGTGCCTTCAACACATGCAGACGCTACCGCCTGTACATAAAGAACCACTGTGTCTGGATTGTACTCCAGATAACTTCGACACGTCATCTCACGGTGAACTGTGAACCCAATTGGCTTCGGTAATTCCCCCACTGGTAAATCCTGACGAAGAACAAAAAGAAACTCCGTGGATTCACTGGGGAATACAAAGTACTGTGGACAGTCTCTCCAGAAAGACGATGAGGGTGACCCAACAGGGTATCCAATCGGCCACTCCCCACTTACTGTCGTTTTGATATCTCGCGTGATCGGAGTTAACGCAACCTCGCAATTATCAGACCACGCAGATAACAGAAATGGTACATTCGCAGCCTTCTGATCTTCCCTAAACGCAATAAGCGTCAGGCGTTTGCTCCCCTTAACATTATCCATGTCGATATTTAGAGAACACATGACATCTCGACATTTACACGGCTCTAAACATTTCACCACTTCGGCTTCCCGCACCTCCTTTAGCCATACGGTGTTGTCTTCCGTGGCCACAACTGCCAGGCCGATGGCTGTGCGGTATGCCGCCAGAGCATTCTTTTGTCGTATGACTCTGGCGCGTGCATCTGGCTGGTGGAGGCCTAACGAAATCTGTGTCTTATTCAGGTCGGGTGGGAGATCTCCAAGCCGAAGAGTGAACTGGGCCCCCTCCATTACTGGAGTGCCACACTCTTTCGGGCAATCGGCAAAGTCCGCCGATACCCATGACGTGTGCTTTGTCCCCGCTGTCATGATGAGGTCCGTGAAGTAAAAAAACACCTCATCCAAACTCATCCAAAACGTTTCCCTGTCGTCTTCATCAAACTTCAGAAGATCGCGAAGGATCGTGGTCCATCGTGTGCTCATCGCCCGCCACTTTCCACCCCAGCGGACTTCCCCCACCTGCCCCCAGTGACGCAACTTCACCAGCCTTTGCCCCTCCACAAAACGTGCATCTAGTGCGGGGTACAAGTGGTCACTCAAAATGCCCAAACTGATTCGCTCAGACGCCTCAGCACTGTCGCCGCGCAATAAAAAGGTGAAAAGAACGTCCTGCTGAATGGCGTTTTTAAGCTTCATCCATAGGATGTTTTGTTGCTCCGCTGACATCTCCACAGAGCCCCTCAGGGGGAAATGAACCGGGGCACACCCTGAAAGATCCATGAGGCCATGACACATCACGTCCACGATGCTCAGTTCCGGGGTGACTTTTAGCTCTAGTGCCTCGTAGCAGCGATGGTGCTTTGCGTACGCTTTCTCCAGAAGGGGGAAGAAAAAGTCTGTGTTGTCTCTTGAGGGGCGTCCCATGCACAGTTCCATGGTACTGTCAAATGGTAGGTAATCGTCGATGGTCACCAAAGTCCATTGGCCGCTCTTGAAGAAACGGAACTGCGCTAACCCCTCCGTGACGTTGTATCCAGCAGTTAGATTCTGTAACCAGAGCGGTTTCGTAGCAATCGCATATGTGACGGAGGCAAACCACTCCCGTCTCGAGAAAGGAAAGGGGCAGTCACACTTCCACTCCCGGAGAAATGTCACTTCCTCCACCAGCTCCGTCGGTCGCTTCCAATAAATCTCTTTCCCACACCACGCCGGTGTCTTTTTCGCCGGATCGATCCACAAGGAGGATCCACCACGTGGAAAGTCCCGATCCACGTACTTCTCTCCAGTCACCATGCAACGAAGAAGGATCTCGTTGTGCGCAAGAACCGCATCCTCAGAGTCTTTGGGACCAGACCGTTTTTTTGCCAATACCGAATTCGCTGCCTGACGAGCCTGGGATTCCTGAGCGCACTGCAGCAATTGATACTCCCGTTCCCGCAACGCCAACGTCTTCAGTTCGTCAGTCACAAACGGACGCGACGAGAAGATGTGAAGTATAAAATTACCCAGTTGACCAGCGTGGCGCGTTGCAGCCAGCAAAAAAAATTCCTCGCTGACAGCAGGCACCACAAGAGACACGACCGAGCCCCGGGAGTATTCAGAGGAATAAAGCAAACGGTACATGGGTGGGCAGGCCTCGACAAGGGAGATACATCCCTCCAAATGACTCAGTTGGTGCCGATGTAGAAACTCTTTTAGTTCCTTTTTTTTCTGAGTCTCCTCCACTGCTGAGAGGGAATCCATTAAGTTGCCGCAAGAGTCGGCGCTGCCACGGCGGACAGGGCTCTTCGGACGGGGCAATGATTCCTCCAAGAATAAAGTTAAATCTGGAGGGGATTGATGGGCGTCAAAGTGGAGTGCAAGAGAGGGATTGCACTTCCATGACATGCTGCGTTCCCGACTCCCTCCGCAGTTGTCTTCATCCCAGACGCCTTTCACCGCTCGGTAGTTCCATCCGTGAGGAAACGCAGATGTGGTCAGTCGGAGAGGGACAGAAGAAAAGACAGTCACAGTGTAGGAACCCAACTCCCCAGGTATCGCCGTGCTCGGGACAATAAACAAGTCAAGAGCAGCACACATAATCACAAAGGAAGCTGTAACCGTCGTTCTGTGCTCGTGAGGGCACGTACACTTGCGGGATTCTTCTTTGCAGCAGATGGGTGGTTTGTTGTTCCCCGTCGTATCCAGTGTAACAACATCAAATCCAATATGCCTATCGTCGTTTTCATCCGCATCAATGCTCTTGCTAAGCTGCACAAACACGGTGGCAGGAGATGCCATTCGGTATGACTGAATGGAACCGGCGTATTGTACATGTATCATGGGATTGCGGCACCACAAATGCTGCGTTGGGGAACCACCGGCTGAGGCGCTTGTCCACTCGCCGTGCATAACATACACAAGCCAGTCAAGCGCAGAATCCACAGGCTCCAATGTAACCCAACCCTCTGAGCTTTTCAAGCTCTCCTGGCATAATTCCACCATCAGCGTAAATGACATGCTTCGTTCTGGATGAAATGTAAAGGGCATGATGGAATAAGCAGCGTGCTCCTCAACCAACAACGTCACAAAACAATGACTGTGGTCCACATTACTTTCCGCAGCAATATGATCCGCATCGGCCACAATTACTTTGCGTGTACCATCGGAATAAAAGACAAAGAACCCAGCCTGCCGTGCGGCCTTTGGATCATCGACATCCATGACGACACGGACCTGGGCTCGTCGTGATACTCGCATAATGTACTGTTGGTTCTTCCACCAGGTAGAGAAGTGTACATGGCCACCCGATGTTTCTTCCGCTAGAGATCCCCGCACCTGCGCACGGAACCATTTGCCAGTGTATACGGGTGTCATTTCCTTTTGCCGTTCAGCTTTGCGTTCCTTGTTCCTCTCCAGATGGTCATTGATCAGCGACAGGGAGGAAGACGCAAAATGATTCCCGTCCACACGGAAGACGGTGATGCTCTCATTCGCCTGGAGAAGTTTCAAAATGATGTCGACGCTGCCATCATCGAGAGCGTTGCCTGAAACGTCCACCTCCTCTATTGATGGATGCAGGGCAAGGCAGTAGACAAGGTGCTCCAGTTGCTCGTGCTCGAGCATGTTTTTCCGGACATCCAGCCTCCTCACGGTCTTCACATTCTTGACGAGATCCAGCACGGGAATGATGCCCTTCGCGCCCACGTAGTTATCCGAGAGGTCGACGCTCTCCAGCACTCGCTGCTGGCTGTGTCGCGTGAACTCCTCCTGCAGGTACCTGGACAAGAAGCTGTTTGGCCTACACCCCCGTCGGCGGCAGTACGATGCGTAGAGGTCTTCGAGTGTTGTCATTTCCCACCGCCAGACCAGGCCGATCACCCTCCCCTCACTTCCTTCCCACTATTCTAGCTGCTGCTCGCGATGAGAGAAAGAGAGCAAGAAAGGCAGAGGGAAAAAGCAGAAGCATAAGAAATATTGGGAGGAATACACACGCACACACACACACAGAGAGAGAGAGAGACAACAGATTCCCCATAAAAAAAAAGAAAAGGACACACACGGGCAGCCACGTGCGTAAACGTCTGTGCACACCACAAATAATAATAATAGAAGGAACAATACACAACAAGCCTGCTAATTCCTCTCGCCGCCTCCTTTTCACTTCTTTCTCTAATCTTCTCAAAAATTGCCCCACTTAAATGACTATCAGACCCTAATGTTTTCTGTGGACAACCTCCTCTTTCTTATTGGGCGCAGACCACTCAAGCGACCCTCAATTCAGTCGTGTCTCACGCTGCCGTCTGTTTCTGTCGCCGTGCCTCTCGCCTCGCCTCTACACGCGCGTTCCAAATTTCAGTGGCGTCCCCCCAGTTATAAATGGGGGCGTTGTCGCCAAACATCATCATACGCCTGTAGTGATGAAATCCACCAAAAGAAAGATACATCACTCCAAGCAGCGGGTAATACCACGACACGCGGCGAAATGTGAGCATTGTGAGCCCAACTCCAAGACTGAGCGTGTAACCGTAAAGGTGGCCGGCCAAAGGAACCGTTGATGTGCTGATGACGCTGGCTACCGAGAAGTATGCCCCGGCTATGCAGCAAAAAGGAATAGTCAGCATGGCAGGGGCACGAATACCATTGTACGTCATTGTCATGTATTTCGGAGACATAAGCTCCTCTGGAAAGCGTTGTGTAAGATACATGATAAGCATGTTCACGATCCCCATATACATGGAGGGCTGATTGAACACAGTGGAGATAACGGAGGAGGTGTCAATGCTGGACTGGAACACTCGCACATCTTGTTTTACAGGCGCGGAAGTGTCACGTGCCGTCATCGACTACTCCTTCTCTCCTTTTTATCAATGGGCCTTTTCCCCACACCGCGCTCTCTTTCCTCTACTTCTTCCACAGACGCCTACCAAAACACAAGCGGAGGTCCACATTGTAAGGGGGCAAAAAAAGAAGAAAAGAGGCAGAAGCCAATTGGAAGTTATATTCTTCAAAGAAAACAAACAAACAGACACAGAAATCAAACATCTTTGCTCCAAGACGACGTTCTCTCTCTCTTTTTTTTTTTTTTTTGTATGTCTGCTTCTTCATTTGGCTCGGATAATGACAAATTCAACAGTCAAAAATCTTGTGGTCAGACGAGTGCTATGAGGTGTCGTGTAATGCAGAAACGACCCAACGCCCACCCACTTTTTCCACGGATGCGACAGTGGCCCGCCACTACAATCCGCACGCTAACGCAGAAGCCCATCATTGTCATGGGACTCCCATTCACCACTGTCATGTGAAATTCCCCCAATATGATTGTGGTCCCACCCAGTTCCCAGCAATGACTGGTACCACAGCCAAATACCTGACCCTCCCTCACCACCTCTGTTTCCTTGCTTTTGGCACAGCCTTCAAAAAACGCGAAACTCAAAGTCGAGTCTCTTTGGTGGCGCCAGGCGGGCACCGTACTTCCTATTCGAGGCCCTCTCCCATTCAATGGAACTGGTGACACGTCCAATCTCGTAGTTTGTTGCCCGAAGACGCATGGGCTGCCTTCTCTTATTTGAGTGATCGTGAGCTCGCAGCCTGGACATATACAGGCGCTGGTACTGCGGCTCTATGGGTCTCCAGTAATACCGCAAATCCTTCACATCCACATGGCGACCAATACGCCGTCGCCGCATTTTGCCTCCGAGAGCAACCCAAACTCTCGAGAAGGGAGGGCCCATTTCCTTGAAGCGCAGTTGCCACGCTTGCATCCGGTGCTGCGCCATGTATTCCATGGGCCGCAGCTGCACCCTTCTTGCCTTGCGAGTGATCTCCTCACATCCCACCTTTGGGAAAAATAGCCCAGTTGGACGGAACATCGGTTTCTGCCAAAAAAGAAGCGAAGGAACAAAAGGACACAAACAAACCAAAGAGTAAAGAATAAAAACGTCGCCCCTCCTTCCCA